TTAAGACTAATGCAAAAGTATTAACTGAGTTATTTAACTTTAATACATAAGTATTAGCGTTTTCTTAACACTAATGCTAAGACGACACCCCTAGATTTTAGGATAACCGTGACACGACTTCAAATTAAAAATATAGTTATGATTGCTTAGAGTTCTATAGATAATAGGATTCATCGATATGCAGAAGTAAATTCCAAATTTACCCGATGATGGCCCTTCAGCAAAGCCGAAACGATCGTCGTAAATAGGTTGGAATTCGAATACCATCTGTATACACACCCTAGCCACACCCCCCCCTACATGTGCAGTGGGAAAAAAAGCTAACGTCACTTGTTCCCATCCGAAGGCAATAGAAACCTCCAGAAGGTCGAAATCGACTTATTATTGATTTTTAAAAAACACTCTTATCTTTGCTGCTATCAAGGCAGTATATAATTGCTAGATTCAGATGTGTCCTTTCATTTCATCAAGTTTTGTCCGATGATATCGAAAAGGTACGTGATGAAACTAGAGGCATCATACTTACGTTGGTCAAAGTTAAGCTAGTCGAACTGACTTAACTTATTAAGTTAGTCGAACTAGCTTAACTTATTAAGTTGGGTGTGAGTTTGGGTGGGTGTGGATTGGTGTGGGTGTGGATGTGGGTGTGAGTGTGAGTGTGAGTGTGTGCGGTGGGTGTGCGTGTATGGGGTGTGGGGTGTGGATATGGGCGTGGGGGGGGGAGGGTCAGTCGTTGTGGGTACGTGGAAGGCGATTCCTCAAACCCACACCCACAGCCACAGCCACACCGACACACATACCCACTCGACTCAGTCCAAACCGGTCTCCCAGAGAACAACGTTTGTTTTTTCAATTTCACGAGGATAAATTACAACAGAACATTGTTTAGCAAATGTGGTGTAAAAATATAGATCAATTTTTCTTTCTAGATGCGCTTTTAAGCGGGAAAAGCAGACACAGGAAATCGATGTTTTATCAGTAGACCGGTTTTATCAGGACAGACTGATTTTGATAGATAGATCGGTAAAACCGGTACAGACCGGTTTCGACCGCTAGACCGGCAAAACCAGTATACCAGCCGGTCCGGTCCGGTCTGACTTTTTGGATCGGTGCCGGTACCGGTCTGAAAAAAGTAGACCGGTTCTATCTATGTCTATTTACTTCAACAATACAAATCGCATTTTCCCCACTTTTAGATCTTGAATAATTTCTGCCGATATTTCTTGCAAATTTCAGTTTACGATTCGAGTGTTTTCAACATACGTTGACAGGCACAGAAGATTAATATGACCGAATTAATAACACAAACAATCATGGTTATTGGTAAAACGGGTTCCGGCAAATCGAGGTTAATTAATTTATTATTAAAAGCAAAATCAGCAGAATCTTACAGATCAATCAATTCTATAACAAGAAGTTGTAAACTATATACATATGTTGATAATGGTACTATTTACGAGTTGATTGATACAATGGGTTTGGCAGATACAGCAGAGGGAACGGATGCTGTTGTTGATAAAATTAAAAATTTTCTGAAACTAAAGGTAAATGAAATTCACTGGATTATTGTCACTCTAAATGGTAACGAAAAATTAACAGCCGAAAATACTGAAGTATTAAATAATATTTTGGAATTTTTACAACTTGATCAAAATATCGATCGTGTTCTTTTTTGTGTTACACATGCAGATGGATGGAATGGCACAACGAGAGATAAATTTAACGAAACTTTAACGAATAACTCCGCCTTCAATAGCATGACCAGTCAAGGTGCCGCCAAAATATTATATTCAGGAGCGCCAGATCCAGATGAACTAGAAGATGATGACGACAAAGAACACGCGAAGAGAAAAGAAGAAGCAGCTAGGAAAAATTTATTGCAGGCTTTACCGTTTAATAGAAGCGCTATTTTACAAGATCAAATAAAAGCATGGAAAGAAGAAGATCTTCAGAAAATGATTGAGAACGAAATTAAAAAGAAGAAGCGTAAATGTACAATATTATAAAAATAATAAATTGCTTACCCTTGCCATATGAACTGCTTAGCTAAACTATTGATTTTCTTATAATGTAATTATTTGTTATGAAGCGACATGTGAGTGCTACAACCCATATAACCATAAAACGCATTTTAGACGCAGGTAGACGCGTCTATGTTGCAAATATTCGCCGTTCCAACGCGTTTTATATGGAGGCATGACGAAACACATCTAAATGCACTAATCACTGTCTTTCACGAACGCGTTTAGAGAAAATTTATCGTTTCGGAGCATATTTTTAGACTAAACGCATACAAATGTATTTAACCTTTTATTATGAAGCGTGTTCGGACGCACTCATATCATTGTATGCCTCTGATCACGTTTAATAGTGGAGAGAAGCTATGTCTCTTCCACTAACGCTATTTCATTGAGAGAGTCGATAAAACGCATTTCACTGGATGCTTCTGGCAATCTGTCGAATTTGCAGAAACGCGTTTGGATGCATTGCTTTCTGGAACGCAGTTGAACATATAGTGGTATAGTTTAGTTAGTGAGGATAAATACTATAAAAAGAAAGTTGAGTCTGTGTGAAAATGGGTTTACGAGTCCAGCGTGCTACATCTTCGTTGCAATGGTGTTTTGATTGAAGGAAATTTTTTTGTGTAATTATATTCGGTTTAGAAGGTAGTAACTGAAAGAAAAAAATTTACTTTTCTAATTCATTTGGATAAACATATCAACTTTCTATTAACTCATTTGAACAAGCATAAGAAGCCGAAGCATATTTCTATAAATGGTTCTTTATGATACATATTTCAAGCAGGATAATTTTTCAGTAATAGCTCTTTAAGTTTTCAATCGATAATGATTATCTTGTTTTCGTTATCTTTGTGTGCAGCAATTCAGAAACATACAAAGTGATCTAAGTTTACAATAGGGACCCGATTAGTAGATGCTATACGAAAACTTATCTATTTTTATTGAAATTAGAATAACTCAATGACATTCTTTTTATTGTTCATGTATTCATGCCTAAACTCCTAAAGCGTCCCTGAATGTCTACAAACTATGCAACTTGATGCGTTTGAATGCATCCAAAATGCAACATTTTCGGAGCTCTGAACGAATAAACGCAACTTCCTACATTTCAGTTCTACAGCATCCTAACTGTTTTATATCAAAAGATGCCGTTTGAACGCGTCCAACATGCAACATTTTAAGATGTGTGAACTCGTCCCTGTTAATAACGCATTAATATACGTTTTCTGGCTTTTCTAGTTATGATACTATTATGAGATAAACGAGTTTACTTTACTCTCAAAAAAGTCAGAAAATAATCATCACTTTGTGTCGGAATCAAACCGGAGTTTAGCATTCAGACTGCATCACTATCATTAAAATATAATTAAATTGGGTTTGATTTAACAGATTAATCATATAAATTAGTACGCCTATGATAATAGATTATTATCTGCAGATCTTTTATTGAAAATATTTAACTTTTATCGAAATTATATGTCTCGCTCTACATTACTTCTAAAATACTTAAGAATAGGCAGACGATAGATTATAATCTTAAAGTTGTTGCCCACTTCATCATTTATTTCCTAGACAAACAAATAAATCTTTTGAATATGATACTTTTATTTCAAACTATTTCATTTTATCGAAATTTCACAAGTGCTTTTTCAAATAGAGTTGTTGGCTTATCTTTATTGTGCTCTATAATAAAATGACTTGAAATGAAACTTTTAGATTCATGCAATAAAGATAAATACATTACGGAATTTTATTACTTACAAACATAAAGATAGACAATTTTTTAAAATTTACGCTTTTAAGAAAAAGATAAATGGATATTTTATTCATAAGAATAAAGGAAGTTAAATGAAAATGACGGTTTATTTTTAAATAATACCTAATATTTTATTGTCTCCCAGACACCTAAAAAAATTTGATATCATAATCATAAATATTACGTAGATAAGAATATTTGCATATATTTTTTCTTCAGTGTCTTCACTTTTTATTAACATTGGATATTGAGATGCTAGTAGTAAGAAAAAAATGTAAATTAATGCCTTTATACCACATTTTTATATATTTATTCGTCACAGAGCGAGGTTTTTTTATTCTGTAATTTTTATTTTTTTTAATATAAAAAATTTCTTTATTTAAATTTTTTTCTAAATATCAAGAATATATCTATCTTGATTTTTTTCAATACATATATATTAATTATATTTATTGCACGAAGTAAAACTATAACAGCTCTATTTGCAAGCTCGCTATGGTGCGCCGGTTCTATTCCTACACAGAGTGATGGTTATTTTTTAATTTTTTGGGGGCGAAAAATAAACGCGTCATGACGCGTTCATCTCCTACTGCATCCAAACGCAGCAAAATCCGAAAACGTCTCGTAACCCGTCTGCAAGATAGACGAGTTTGCACGCGTTTTGGTTTTTGAATGCGTTCACACACCTGAAATTGTTGCATTTTGGACGCGTTCAAACGCATCTTTTGACATAAACGAGTTGTGATACTGTTAGCATTGGAACGAGGGAAGACGCGTTTGTCCATTGTAAACGTGTTCAGAGACCCAAAAATGTTGCCTTCTCGATGCGTTCCAACGCGTCAAGTCGCATGAGTCTTAGACGCTCAGGAACGCGTTCAAGATCGAAAAACGGTTACCTGGGTAGCCGGAGAAAACCTACTTCGTTAATGTGCACAATAGCATTCCAATGAATAAAAGAAGTGTCATATAGGATATAACGAACAGGTTAAAATGGACCTTTTATTTCTATCGTTCATCATCATTTCCGTTGAAGATCATGAAATCGTACACTGCTCTGTAAAAAAAAAAGGAGCTTTACCGAACCCCTCGAAAAGGTTCTGTAGATTTATAAAAGCATCCAAATGTGTCCAAAATCTCAAAAAAAGGATAAAAAATTCGACAGAACCTTTTGGAGGTTCTGCGGAGTACCCACTAGCAGAACCATCTCTTACGAAACCTTTTTTTAAGTTCTGTACAGCAGAAAAATGTTTTCGTGAGAAAATACGAAATCTTGAGGGTTCAGTACAAAACCATTGACCTTTCTACGAAACCCTAATGGTTTTGTACTGAACCCTCAAGGTTTCGTATTTTCTCACGAAAGCCTTTTTTTGCTGTACAGAACTTAAATAAAGGTTTCGTAAGAGATGATTCTGCTAGTGGGTACTCCGCAGAACCTCCAAAAGGTTCTGTCGAATTTTTTATCCTTTTTTTGAGACTTTGGACGCATTTGGATGCTTTTAGAAAGCTACAGAACCTTTTCGAGGGGTTCGGTAAAGCTCCTTTTTTTTACAGAGTGCATAACGATGATATTTAATCGACTATGTCTGTCTCTTCTCAGATTAAATTATTCAATGATTCATGAGTTTTTGTTTCAATATCGAGTTCCTTCTTTTGATATCTTTCTTATTTCGGTATGTGTTACCACTTTGAGTTCTTATCTTTTGTTGTATTCGCTGTTCTCGAGCACATCTTAGCTCGCTCATGATTCAACATAAGTTGCATAAACAATAATAAACATCTTGAATCTTTCTCGGAAAAGTGTCAATTTTCACGGAAAGATCCATCTTCATTGGGCAAATCGGTTGAAATCTTCTCATAGATTGGTTTATTAATGATAATAGAAATGAAGAAGAATTGATCATAGGGTTTCAGTTTTCAAATGAAAATACTGTTACCTATATGCAGCATTATTCATTGAATGTCTGGTTCATTTTCATGGATTTCTTGCGTTATTATCATGGATTTTTCCGTCGAAGTGATTCATTCCTACAAATATTCTTTTGTGCGTGATATATATGAGCTATTGTTTTGTTCTCCATCATTGAAGTTCACAGACGAGAATCTCACAAACGAACACAAATTCTTCTGGTAAGTATCGAGACTTGAAGAAGTTAAGTTTGATTGTATCGTATTTGTTTATCTTTTTTCCTCAGATAACGTTCATAGTGAAACATTGAGTTCGTTGGTAAAATTCTCCTAAAAGATATGTCAAAAATGCAAGCATGTCTTCGACAAGGAAAAAAATCCGGTAATGATTTCATCCTATCGTGTTTTGAATTAAAGTGGATCGCATGTTTAGATGTTGAGTAGCAGGGTATAAATGTGGCTATGAAATGAAAATAAAACGAAGGATGACTAACAAAAAACCCATTGAAATAGAAAATGATCGATAGCAGCATAGAGACTATTTGAAAAGAAATAAGAGCTCCTTGAAAAATCGAAAATGCAGAAAATATTTATTCCCTCGACTGAAGCGGGGTGATACGAAAAAAATTCAAAATGGGTTTGTGTGTTTGTCGGGGTCAAAGGTCAAAGGTCAAAAAAACATTTACGGTGAATTTTTGATAAATGTTTAGGAAAGTAAATCGAGGTCGGAGAATCCGAATCTGAAGTCAGATTCTCAAAATTTTGAAATGAGTTTTTAAGGTCTAGGGAAGGGTTTTTTGAGAAACTAATGATATTCTATAAAGGTTGACGAAAGTAAATCGAGGTCGGAGAATCCGAATCTGAAGTCAGATTTTCAAAATTTTGAAATGAGTTTTTAGGGTCAGAGGGAAGGGTTTTTTGAGAAAATAAAGATATTTTATAAAGGTT